AGAGGACTGGCCACCACTCTGTGATCTATATCTGTTCCCACCACTGAAGTCAGATGTGACTGCTCAATATTAATTGGAGCAATATCTCAAGATAAATCTGCCTCTACTTAAGCATAAGAATTTAATTTATGTTTTTTAGTTGTCAATGGTCCTTTTTTAAAAAAAATCTTTTTATTTTTTTACTTGTGGATATCCAATTTGGAACTTGGATTTTTTTTTTTTGGGGGGGGGTACTGGGGATTGAACTCAGGAGCACTCAACCACTGAACCACATCCCCAGCCCTATTTTGTATTTTTTTTTAGAGACAGGATCTCATTGAGTTGCTAAGTGCTCGCCATTGCTAAGGCTGGCTTTGAACTTGCGATCCTCCTGTCTCACCCTCCTGAGCAGCTGAGATGACAGGTGTGTGCCACCGCTCTCAACTGTCAATGGCCCTTTATTTATATGGGGTGCTGAGAATCAAACCCAGTGCCTCACACAGGCTAGGCAAGTACTAACTACTATCCCAGTTCCAAGCTTAAGGATTTAAAAAATCAACTTGCATTTAGAAATAGTTCTTACTGGTTGAATACTTACTATTCTGTGTTAAGATATTTACATACAAGAAAGGATGGTGGAATGTGATGGACATCATTATCCAAAGTACATGTATAGAGACACGAATTGGGTGTCAACACACTTTATATACAAACAGAGATATGAAAAATTGTGGTATATATGTGTAATAAGAATCATAATGCATTCCGCTGTCGTGTATTAAAAAAATAAAATCAATAAAAAAGACATTTACATACATTATTACATTTGAATTCTTGTAAATAGCATTCTGGAATAATAACTAGTAACATTTTTAAAACAATCACTATACATCAGACTGTATTGACATCTTTACATATATGTCTCATTTAATCTCCACTATACTATTATTCTTCTTTAACAAATGAGGAAACCGGATTACAGTCAAGGCAGGAAATATGAAGCCATCACATAACTAATTGCAATATCCCTTCAGAGTTTGTTCTAAACGGTACACATAAATGTCTTGCTATAGGGAAGATGGACTGATCACTGCTGGTTTACCAGTGAGGGAACTGCAAGTATTTCAAGACCATACTGTGGCTGAGAGTAGTGGTGCATATCTGTTATCCCAGAGGATGAATTCAAAACCAACCTTAGCACCCTAAGCAATTTAGTGAGACCCTGTCTCTAAACAAAATATTTTAAAAAGGGCTGGGGATATGGTTCAGTGGTTAAGTGCCCCTGGGTTCAATCCCCAGTAAAAACAAACAAACAAACAAATCAAAACAAAACAAAAAACAGGCTATGAGGAAATGGTGAAAAGCATTATGGGAACTTGGGCCTACTTTGCCCATCCTCCACTTGCCTTCTGTTCTTGACAGCTCTGATTATATATGTCCTTCAATAATTTTCTCACAAGGTTTGAACTTTGTTAGAAATTACCAAAAGTGGTATTACTATTATTATAAATAAAGTCATGGAATTACGGAACCTGAATGATGCAAGGTTGAGACCCAAAATGAGCCAACTAGTCATTCCCACCTAGTCAGCTGAGAAGGTTTCCCAAAAGTTGGGGTTTGACTCTAGCAGAGTCATTAGAAGCATTTCTTCTGGATTATATACTTTATACTGTTCTGTGTTTTCTACTTTTTCTACAATGAGCAGGTCTTACTTTTTAAAGCAAGTGTTCCCAGACAATACATCTCATGGTAAGACATTCAAACATACAAAAAACCCCTTTCTTTAAACTCTTACCTTCCCTCACCCATTCCAATCTCCTCCTTAGAGGTGACTACAGTTAGAAGTTTAGTTTGAATTCCTTACACTGTCGTATATGGTTATTGAGCACTTGACATACCCTAGTTGAGATGTGCTATAAGCATAAAGTACATGCTAAATTCAAAATTTAGCATAGAAAAAATTTATATAGTTTCTGTATTGATTACATGTTGGAATGTAAATTAAGGAGACTATAAAAATATCAGTGGTTGCCAGGGATTAAGGGGTTGGGAGAAAGGGATGAATATGTACACCATAGAGGATTTTAGGAGTGAGACCATTTTGCATGATACTTTAATGGTAGATACATATCATAAATTTGTCCAAACCTATAAAATGTACAATGCCAAGAGTGGACCCTAATGTAAACTGTGGGTTTTGGGTGATAATGGTCTTAATGTATGTTTATCAATTGTACCAAATATACTAAGGTTGGATAATGACACTGGGGAAAGCTATACATATGCAGGGGAAACAGGTTTGTGAAAAATTTCTGTATCTTTTTTCAATTTTGCCACAAATCTAGACTTGTTCTAAATGATTAAGTCTTAAAGAAAAAATATTTTGGATATATTGGGTGAAGTAAAATGCATTATCAAATTAATTTCACCTGTTTCTTTTAATTTTTTTCACCTAGCTGACAGAAAAGGTGGTGCACATTTAATTTTATTGAACCATCACTGCTCTAGAGTCTAGATCACTTTGGGCTTTTACATATTCACATGTATATAGAGAATATATAGATTTTTGGTGTTTTCTAACTTAAATCTGCATTACCTTTATCATTGGACTTTTTTTTTAAATTAGAGTCTTTAAATGCAGGGGGCATTAAATTGATGCTTTCTTCCTGTCTTTATCTTCTTTATGATCCTTACACTTCTTTTACATTTCACAACCTACAAAGCCTTAGAATGAAGGAAACATAGTTATTCTTAGCTATAAAAATGCTGAAGTAAGTACATTTAATATGTGAATTAAATCAACATAGGTACAGGTTCATAAAGGGTACCCCTTGTTGGATAAAGAAAGTGCTAGTCAATGAAGGAAGGCTTTGGGCATTAATGGGTCATGGACAAAAGATCTATGAAACAGTGCCAAAATGACCTGAAAATTTTTTTGTAAACAACTATATTCAAAGTTTCTGTTCTCATCATGTTACCTCTTTTTCTCAAACATTTTTTTGCAGTAGGTATAGTTCCATTATTTATGTTGGGTGACCACTCTCTGCTAACTATTTTTTTTAGTTTGATCTCTACTGCCTCTGAAGGATCATATCGAAACAAAAACCTCAGTTCAGCCACTGAATTTTGATAGTTGCTGTAAATAAACACTGAAATGTATGATCGATGTGATCACTATTTTGCTAAGTTATCATTAGTTGAAGTAATATTAAAATATTTTATAATATATCTAATAGATTTTATTCTGAGAAAATACCTAACATTAATGTCCAGTTAAGTGGATTCTACAATTGAAATTACCCCAAGCAAGCTCCCTGTATCCCCTGCTTATTAATAAACTGAAATACATAAATAATTTATATAGATTACACTGTGTAAATAGACTGGGAACACATATGCATGCAGCAATTTCTTGTGTCAGGCTGGCATAGTGTTTATCATGTTCTAGCAAGGTGTTAGCACATGCAACATTAGCAGCTCTTACTTGGGCTCAGTGTAGAACCTCCTTGGGAGCAGAAGAGAGAAAAAGAACATTAGGCATGAGCACAGGTGCTGTGAAACTTATTATTTTAATAGCTGTGAGTGTTCCTTGATGCTCTCTCCATTTGCATCCCTGTAGTTACATGTTATCTAGATGGAAAAAAGAAAAACCTGCGACTGAAAGCCTGTTTATGCCTTTTCTCACTTGTTATTACTCTAAGACAATGGGTAAAATGAGGCACTGAATGGGGATCTCCAAATTTTTCTTCTTTCTGGAAATTCTCTCAATCTAATAAACCAAGTTTTCCTCCCCCAGATTCCATGGGAACTGTATTAAATGCTCCATATTGATGGGATATCTGAAAAACATTTCTTTCTTTTCTTCCTATATCTCACCATATTTTCTCCTAATTCAAGAAAGAATATAGAGATAGTAGAACATAAACAAAAGCTAGGGGTATACAAAGATTTTCAACTTTTCTGAGGTTTTGTAAACCTTTTGAAACTTAAAAAATTCTCCTTGAATTAGGATTGACTTCCTCTGAGTAGATACATCTGCTGTAGCAGCCCAACCCTGTCCTATCCTCCCTTGCCTAGGCCTTGGCAGCAACAGGTGAGTGGGGCCCCTTTCTTTCCCACATCCCTCCCCAAGAAGCTGTCAGGAGCCTCTGAGGCAGTATCCAGCAAGCAGGAAATGGGTTGGGGTTGAGGGGTTCTCCACCCATTAGCAGCTGTTTAAGCAGTAGGCAGGAAAACTTTTCTACAGAAAAATCCAGGTTAGCAAATATTCCAAACCAATTTATATCACATGCTACCCAGTTGTGGAATTAAATTAAAATGCTAAGAAAGGACCTGGAATGCCAATTCCCTTGTTTTCTCTCACTTAGTGCCTGGGACCAAAAGAACAAAACAAGAACAGTTGGACTTGGTGTTTTAAAGGGAATTATTAGGCAACTAGAAGAAAGTAAAGGCAGCACACACCAAAGAAAGCTGTTTACTTGGAACATCATGCACCAATGATTACATGTTAAGACCCATCATTGTTCAGGTGGTGACATCTGCACAGGCTTAGTAGGTTACTCACTTAGATTTAACCCAAAGACAACTTTGACAGATTATCAGAATCTTTTGGTGAGGGTGGTAGGTGGAGTGGGGAAAGGAGTAAGGTAATTCTGAAGAATGACTTTGATTTTTAAAAGCACAATAGTATTATCATCTCAATGGTTCTGCTTTAGTCTATTCTAGTGTAATATGAAAGAGAAGTTTTGCCAAATGTCAGAAAAACATTTCTAAATAAGTCATTTTAGATTACATTCGAACTCTAAAATAAAAACATAAGTATGTGTTTGTCTATCAGATCTTAGTGCATTTTGTTAACACTTTCCTTGTGGAAGATATTTGAATTTTTCATATACTACTTTCTTAACAATGATTAACTATAGCTTTAATAAGTGGATAAGAGGTGGACCCATAATTTATTATGTATACTTAAAAATAAGATTTTACATTTCTTAACAGTAGGAAAACATTAAAATGGTTACCTCTGTGAATGTGTTCCGATTAGCTTGCAAGCCAACTTTTACTACCTCAAAAGGGTTAACCACGATGGCTTCTGTTAGTCCAGATCCCAATCCAGCAATGGCAAATGTCTAGAAAAATTAAATCCATCAATTCTTTAAAACAAGTGATCATGTGTACTAGGTTAGGTATCCTATTCATTATACTATGCAGCTATGTTATGATGAGAATGGAGAAGCCTATGTAAGTGTACCATATACCATTACTAAACAGCTTTAGTTCTTGATTAGATGCTGACAATTCATGAAGAAGAAATTACAGAAGCCACAAACCACATCCTAACAATTTCAAAATAAAATGTCAAAGCCCCATCAACAATGACTTTTTCCTTTAACAAAAGGCAAGATTATTTTACTGATTTGGGGTGGATACTAAAAACATCTGCATTTATAACAGTTAAAGAGAGTTTAAATTGTAAAAGGAGAGCTTCATTTTTTAAACATCTATTTAAGTACTTTTATTGAGCATATGAAGAAATCTAAGGAGCAGAAGCACAAATAAAATGTTTATAAAAAGCTAAATTCCAGGTAGCTGGAAACATTCAAATATATAGTCATGTTCCTAGAGTCACTATTTTAGACTGTTAATAAACAAAAATTAATTTTTATTCACTTTCTCTATTTAAAACAAAATAAAACTGATGATTGCTCTATTTCTCTGGACTTAAAGCTGAGAATAAAAGCTAAGATAAAAAATAGCTAAGTTGTTCTGAAGGGCCCAACTAAAATCTAGAACATTTATCCAAAAAAATTGTCATTGGACTTTTTTAAAAAAAAAAATTAGCATCTTTAAATGCAGTGGGCATTAGATTAATGCTTTCTTCCTGTCTTTATCTTCTTCATGATCCTTATACTTCTTTTATATTTCAGGTTCCTAATTGCTGTGAATTAAAATACAGGTACTTTGTATTAGGCAGAGGGGAGTGAGGGAAGGGGAGGGGTACAGGGTAGGAAGATAGGGGAATGAATTAGACATTATTACCCAGTGTACATATGTGATTACACAATTGGTATGATTCTTCATTATGTATAACCAGAAGAATGAGAATACTATATTTACGTATGATGTGTCAAAATTCATTCTACTGTCATGTATAACTAATTAGAACAAATAAAAAAGAATTCCAGAAATAATAATAATAATAATAATAATAATAATAATAATAATAATAATTTTATGGAATTTTCTTCCAAGTATAATGTTAAGAGTTTTCCAGAAAAAATTATATCAAAAATGACCATGACAATTAAAACACACTTACAGAAAACAAAAACACAAATACAGAAACAAAATCAATCAAATCCTCTAGTCTCCAAAATAGATGCCAGACAAAAAGTAATTCTTTGCTGTAGAACCTCTACTTCCAGGAGAAGAAGTGGCATGTATACAACAGACGAATAAAACCAATGAAGAGTAAAGAACATATACTCTTATTAAGGGTCTCTAATATCTTCAAAGAGAAGGGAAAAAGGAATATTCTCTAATGTTAGAGGGTCAGATAAGGTAGAACAAGGGCTGGATCCAGACCTGTAAAAGTGGGTTAAGGATTTGGTTCTGCCACACATTGGCTGTATGACTACAGCTTCCATGGACTGTAGTTTGTACACAGATAAAAGTGCTCAGCCATGGGGTGCATGGAGGCTGAAACACAGCCTATACTCTACTTGCCAAGCCAGACCCTGAACAGACATTAGTCAGGAGGTAGGGCCACCTTTTCATGATTCACACAAAGGCACCATGTGTGCTAGCTGGGGCTGCCTATGAATCATCAAATCTTTGATAAGACAGCTTTCTCATCTGTAAGATGAAGATAATAATATCATACCTCAGAAAGTTATTATGAGGGTCAAAACAATGTGCAAAAGCTCCTTGAAAGTGCCTTCCAAACACCATTGTTCTTGTTGCATATAAAAAGGGATGAAGAATGGTATTGCATATAGATTCTAGGAGACAAGGCATAACTAATGATGTTTTCCTTTTATCCCACTTCATTACAATTTTAAGCATAATTTGTATAGGGTAACTGACCAAATACTTTATTCATTTATCTCAAACTTCTATCACGGAAGCCAAAAGCAGGGGGAAAATACCAGTCTCAAACTCTTCTGACTGGGAAAGCTAAAATCCAGATGTTCAGGGTTTTTATTACTTACTATATGCAATCTTCCAAGTAATTCACTTTTTGGTTCTTATATAATGCTCGGCTACATTTGCTGTCAGAACTAGTGTTCAGCAGTCCCTTGTCAAAAGAATTGATCAGATACCAGCAGATCATATTACTTAGGTTGCTGCAGAGACTTGAGTTTACTGTTGGGTTCCCAGTCTCCTAGGTTTTTCATGGGAGCACCAGGGAATATTTAATACCTAAGTGCCTAGCTGTATCAAAAAAGAAACTAGAATAAATGAGTTCAAGAAAAGAGAACTGTATACAGTTTGCTTTGCATGCATTTTATTATAGTAGCTGGAGTAGCCAACTGCTTTACTGTTTCAACTCTTAAGTCAAAGACCTGCAGTCTCTCACATGGAACCAATGCTCAACACAAAAATGCCAGCTGGCCCTCTGGAGGCCATATTTCATTGTCTTTTGCTAGGAAGTCTTTAATCCTCTTTTGGCTAACATGTTTACAAAGCCAAAAAATGACATTAAGGGAAGACACTGAGGGATTAAAAAAAAAACAAAATCTTGGTGTAATTTTGAGATTCATGGCATGACCCCTCCTTTCCAAGAGGGTGTGCTTCACAGCCACTTTGTTCAGGCAGAAGGTTGGAGAGGAGATTTCTTGGTGATAACAAATAGCAATAGCTTTACATTTTTTAATGAGATCCCTTCTAGAAAGGAAGCAGGTATCATTTTTAAAGTAACAAAAATTTCTTCTTGGATCATTTGTTTGGTAGAGTAAATATTCTGAAATGAAACTTTACAAGTAAAGTATAGATGATCTTTGATATACAATGGTTCAACCTACGAATTTTTACTTTTGTGCAAAAATGATTCATATTCCATATTTTGAATTTTGATCTTTTCTTAGACTAGCAACATGAAGTATTATACTCTCTCATTTTGCTGGGTGGTGACCATGTGCTGTGGCTCCCCATCAGCTATATCCTCAAGAAGGTATAGACAGCCAGTGTTCTATGGTGTACTTTGTTTTTAAGCTATGATGATTGGTAGGCTAGTTGTATTAAATGCATTTTTTACTTATTATATTTTCAACTTATGGTGGGCTTATCTGATGTAACTCCATCACAAGTGAAGCAACATCTATAATTGAAGAGTTGAACCTCAGAACATTGTCTCTTCTATTGAGTTTTGAGGCACATTTCACTGGGCAAGTGAGGATTTTCCTAAAGAATAGACTGTACATTGCCAATTGTAGCAACAATGCACTTTATTTTGCAGATTTTGAGGGAAAGATTAGTGCATTTGCTCTCTCTGGGGCTCTTGGTGCTCACACATTTGGCTAATATAATTTAACTGGCGTAGGAAAAGCAGCAAAATCACCAAGATAGAGAGGAGTGGCATAGGGAAATGTTCAAAACAAGTGAATTTCATGTAATATTTAAGGTGTGTTGTTATAAAATGACTATTCACCCTGGCTAAGTTGTTTACAGCCATTTCTATAAAAGGCCCTTCAATCTGTGCCTGACCACAGAGTGATTTTGTCCCGAGTGACTTGAAGTCCCATATTGGCTACAGCTTGAGCAATAGCTGGAATAGTGACCTGTTAGGCAATTTCAGGCATACTGACTTTTACATAAATAGATATGTGTCATATGTATGTAAACATATGCATGTTTTGGTTTTAAAAGAGTCTTTGATAAATGTACTCTTTATTTTATATTCTTGACCATATCTCATATAGGTCCTTCCAGGCATATCATTATTATTATCATAAATTCATCACTGGGAGCTATAAAATAGTCAAATTGTGAGTTATTAGGAAGATGGCTTTCAACAAGTAGCTGAACATTGAATAACTTGAATTCATATTTTAGTAGCTGGGCTTGGGGAAATCAAAAGGGTTTTTGTTTCTAGATTTTTGCTTTATGAAATAACACACACACTTAAGTATAATAAATACTCTCACTTACCAATGCTGGTGACAGTGACACATATCCTAGCAATTTCTTGTACTGCTCAAAGGTGAAAAACTGTGAAACAAAACCAAGCCCAGAGATTTATGACAATTTCCTGTAACAAACTCTTTAATTGACTAAAATTTCTTTGCTAAATCATCATATTAACCAGCATTTTAGAAAATGATAAGCCATATAACAGTTTTTAATCCTGTTTCGGGCAGTTGCTATTGAATCTTATTTTAACATTCACATTTTTCAAATGTAGTTATAATAACCTACAGAAGAGCTGATGGAATCCTTTATAGCAGTAAATGAACCATACAACTTCCATTTACCATGACCATTTTCAGTTTCCCCAGACATCAATAGACTTCTTTTTTATGGCAGTGATTCAAAATTATAGGCACAGAGACCTGAAGTCTTGGTCTCCTATGTTTTCTCTATGAACTGCTTTCCCAGCAAATGTCCAATTTTCTATAACACACTTGTAAAAGACATTCACTTCTCAGACTTTATATTATATTGCTGTGTCTCTCTACTGTTTCATGATATTATTAAACATTAAATAATTATGAAGATGCCATGCTAAACTAGGGAAGGGCCCAATGAAGTTATCTAGTCCATTCCCTGCCTTAAAGCCAAACTGTCCCCAACCTGAATGAACACAGCTGCTTATTCTTTTCTTTAAAATCTGATGAAGAAGATGATGATGATGATGGAGATGATTATCATGATGATGAGGATGATCAAGATACTATTAATTCCTTCAGAAGATGATGTTTAATATAATTTTGTCTTCAAAGAAGAATGTTTGAAGAGAGAAATTCTTTTCTTAATTAGAATAAGTTAAACTCCATATATGTATAATATGTCAAAACACTGTCATGTATATCTAAAAAGAACAAAATTTAAAAAAGAAAAAATTCTATAAAGGCAAATCTAATCCGTCTCCTTTCTACATCCTAGTTAAAAAACTATGATTAGACATTATTATTATTATTATTTGTGTGTGTGTGTGTGTGTGTGTGCTGAGGATTGAGCCAAGAACTTTGCACATGCTAGGCAAAATGCACCTACTGAATTACATCCCCAGCTCCTGAACATGTTTTGCTCCTGGGTACTTACTCGAGTAGTTCCAACATCACTGATAATGTATGCTCTTAGGTCCTGCTAGGTTGGATTCTTAAGACCTAAGAAATGGCAAGGGAAATCAAATGTTTTCTACTCTATTACTTTATAGCCTAGTAAAATGGGGCAAGAAGGAAAATGAGATTTTGGGGGCCAAATAATACTTGGTTGTTAGAAGGAGCTGGTGCCTTATAGACAAGGTTCTTACTGTGTCTTTGGGCAGCCCAAATGTCATTATACCACAAGATGAATTTTAATTTCTTTTAAAGACTCAGGAACTACTTTTGGGCCATGGTCGTTTAGATTAACTATAGATTTGGACTTTCTTGGAACAGGTTTCCATTTATTCACTCATTTAATGAATATTTACTAGATTCCTTCCATTTTAGGCACTGGGAATACACCAGTGAACAAAGAGACCCCCTGTCTTCTTGATATCATGTTCTAGGAGATGGTGATAACCCTGAAACTATACTGGTGTTAGATAGCATTAATGGAGACCACTGTTGGATGAGATTCACACTAGAAATCAATCATAAACTATGGGAGGAAAAGGGTTATCACCTTAGGTTTTAAATATAATTTATTTTTCCTCCATTTTGTGATCACCTCATCGCTATGCTTTGACAATCACTTTGCTGGAAGGTAAGCAATGCTGGGTCTGCATTCCAGGTGTGCCACTTAGCTTGAAAGCATGGGCAAGTTGTTTAACCTTTCTAACCCTCAAGAACACAAAGCATGCCTGTTAAGTGTTTCTACTGGGGATTGAACCCAGGGCCTTACACATACTAGGCAAATGCTTAACCACTTAGCTACATCTCTAGCCCTAATAAGATAATTTAAGTAAGATTCCCTAACATGTCTGGCACATAGGAGACTTTTGGAAAGGCTTACTTTCCATCTCTGTATTCACTTAGGTTAGTAAAGGAACCATAGATGCGTTAATTATGTATACTTCTCATGAGAGCCTACTGTGGTCCAGGAAACATGCTAACACCTACCTTTTGCATGTGCTACTATATAACCCATATAGCAATACCATCAGATTAAGAGGCTAGAATACAATCATGAGTCCCATTGCATATGGAAGCAAAGGACTGAGCTTATCCTTGAGTTAAGTCTAACTCCAAAGCTTCTGAGTACTCTTACCCCTACATTATATTTATTCCCTGCTACCATGATTGTTAGTGGTTTGGAAAAATTTTGCCCTTGGGTTTTCTTGCTGCTGAGGATGAGGTCTTCTTGCCTTCCATTATACCTGAGGTGGTCACACAGAACCTGGAAGCTCCGAAGTCCCATAGGGCAGAAGATTTTGAATTTTTGTTACCAAAAATACGCATAAAAATATTTATCCAACACACACACACACTCAAACAAATGCACACATGCACAAGGGAGAGCATGTGGTCTTAGATTTAAAACTGAAATGAAACACTACTATAAAACAATATTTACTTCCTATGGTAATACATTATTTTCTGTTCTATTTCTTTAATTTTTTTCTGGTTATGACCCACTGCATCTAATGATTTACTAAAATGAATCAATGTCCCCTGGGTCATGACCTATAGTTTAGAAACACTGGACTAGGGACCTACATTAGGATAGGGTTACAGGAAGTTCTGATGACCTCACAGAAATCTCCTCTATCTTATTAGCTTCCAGTGTGAAGATGTATTTGTTTGTTGGTTGGTTTGTATTTTTTCTGGCTTTCCATCATTATAAGGATGAAGGGCCCAAGGGATGTCAAGGGAAAAGTCCTTGTGAGGATTTCCAAGTCTACACCCTGGGAGCAATTCTAGGCATTTATTTCCCTGTCTCTAAGGTTATTAAAACCAAGCTAGACTAGTTGATTGGCACCCATTAGCAGTCATGATGGAACTTTTGGTGAATGACTAGGATGAAATGATTCAGGTTCCTGGGAATAAAGAAGCCTTACAGGTCACAGTGATAAATTGTTAAGGTACTAAATTCAAAAGTAATGAACACCTCACATATTCTAATAAGCAAATAGTACTTAAAGCTAAAAAAATGCATTTTAATTTTTACTTTTGCAACCAAAACATAGTTGTCTGGATACAAAATAAAACAATATCTATTTGTGTATGATGTCATGCATAACTAATTAGAACAAATAAAAATAAATAAATAAATAAATAAAAACAATATTTCCAGAAAGGAAAAACTAAATATTTTAAAAATAGATTTCTAACAACAGTAAAATAATATAAATATATTCATTGTAAGTTGAAATCAATGTTCATTAAAAACATCCAATTATTCATCCATCTATCTGTTCAAGAAATATTTTACAGGATGTGTCTCATGTTTAAAGCTTAGGAGACTTTGTACTAGATTTATATCCTTAGGAACTAATAGATCAGCTGTTATTTTAATTCCTGTTAATATAATACTACTCCTTTATGGCTTTCATGATATTTATTTTTTTTCAATTTTGATGATATAGTTACACAGAATAGTGGGATTCATTGTAATATATTTGTACATGCACATCACATAATCTGGTTGATTTCATTTCCCAACACCTCCCTTTTCCTCTCCTGCTCCTTCTCCCTAGTCCCATTTCTTTACTCCATCAGACTCCTTTCTATTTTTGTGAGATACCTTTTTTATTCCTTTTGTCTCTATGGCTTGCACATATGAGAGAAAACATGCTCCTTAACATTTTGAGTCTGGGTCATTTCACTGAGCATGATGTTTTCTGGTTCTCTTCATTTTCCTGCCCATGTCATGATTTAATTCCTCCTTAAGACTGAGTAAAACTCCATTGTGAATAGATACATCACATTTCCATCCATCTGTTAGTGGACACCTAGGATGGTCCCATGACTTGGTTATAGCAAATTGCATTGCTTTCCACACAGGTATGTATGTATCACTGTAGTGTGCTGACTTAATTTCATTAGAATAAATACTGAGGAGTGTATTGCTGGGTCATATGGTGGTTCCATGCCTAGTCTTTTGAGGAATCACCATACTAATTTCTATAGTGGTTGGAGTAATTTACAACCCCACCAACAGTGTGTAAGTTTTCCTTTCTCTCTGCATCCTTGCCAGCATTTATTATTTGCACTCTTAATGATTGCCATTCCACCTGGTGTGAGGTGAAGTCCCAGTGAGGTTTGATTTGCATTCCCTGATTGCTAAGGATGTTGAACATTTTTTTCACATATATGTTGGCCATTTGTATTTCTTTTTTGAGACACATTTCTTTAGTTAATTTTCCCATTTATTGATTGTTGGACATGATATTTCTTAATAATTTCTCAGCCAAAATATTAGCTAAAGCATAGACTGATAAAAGTACACAGTCATATAAAATATGAGGTTGCACTCTAGGTATGAAATCCAAAAGGTCAACATAAATTTTTTACCAAAGTCAAGCAAATGTATGGCTAAAGAGTTTTGAAACCATTCATATCCCCTCACATCAAATACAAAATTAATTTTGCTGTATATAACCTATAATAATACGCAGAAATTGGTGATCTGGCTGGACTTATTGACCATGTCCTTCCTGGAGAAGTGTCACACTGTGGTAGGACAGAGGACATGGGTACATTGGTACATTCTACCTGGTTAAACCAGTTCTCCATTTTCTCCTTTGTTTTCAGTTTGTGCAGTTTGAACCATTTGAGTGTTACTTTTAACAACTGGGATCTGAGTAGTGCTCAATTTAGGGCTAATTCTGAGGCACGATGCTTCTAAATATCCTTTCAATGTCTTTTGAATTTTGATGCTTTCTAGTTTAGCTTGTAGGTACAGGCACTACTCCTAGACCTGTGTGTCTGCTGAGCAGAGTCCCTCTAAAACTCTTGTGCAGTTCTTTCCCAAGTCTTGGCGGTGTACCTACAGGTGTGCACGGGTCATACTCAGCTGAATACTTGAGGGGGGACCTTCTGCAATCCCAGGAGTTGTCTTCCTGCACAGCTTGCTCTTGGCTGGTACTCTGTCCTGTGAGCTCTAGTTCCTTTGTTCTTCCCACTCTCTCAGCTCTTTTACCACCCAGGGAGTCCACTGGGCTCTACTTTTATTTTGCCTCCCATCTTTAAGCCTGTAAACACTCTCAAGGCTTAAGCTGTGGTCATCACAGGGCTCATCTCATTTGTTTTAGTTATTACTACAATTCCTTGTCTGATTCCAGTGTTTTGAAAGTTGTTGTTTCATATATATATATATATATATATATATATATATATATTTTTTTTTTTTTTTTCATTTCTGTCTTGTTGTTTCAGGTGGTAGAGTAAATCTGGTCTCTGTAACTCCAGCTTGACTAGAAATAGAAGTCTTGGCCCTCCAGATACACAGAAGAGTTGATATGGAGATTTGGGTAAACAAATTCTCTCTCTCTAGACTTCTTTCTATAAATTTTCTTTGTTTCTTTCTCTGTTTAATTCATTCAATTGAATATCTACTATGTGTAGACATCATAAGTGTAGGTATATTATAGTGAGCAAATAGCCTTCATAATTCATAATATCTAATAATATGAGTTTGGTTAATATAAAGTAGTCCTTGAAAATCTGAACATGGAAAAATGGTATTTATGGACCTGTGAAGTTAAAGACTAAACCCTGGAACTGGAACATACTTCTCCTATCTCTGAGATCAGTTGTTTTCTTCTGAGATTTTCATTTCCCTTTTCTAATTGCAATACTAATTACATATTAATTTGAGAATGGGAAAGTTTCATTTATTTAGCATCAGTGAGTCTTATTATTTTAATGATAAATATAATTTCAAAGAATAAATTACAAACTTAAAATAGTCTGTTTTTGATTATGGTACCAACTGCAACTAAAGTGTCCACACCGAAGAATAAATACAAAACAGTGCATGCATGTATGGACACATACACACACAGAGTATCAGAATATTTTTTTTTCTGAAGTAAACTTTGATGACATACAATGATGCAGTTTATGATGTATGAAATTACTACAATCAAGTGATTGCTTTCCTCACAAATCCTAAGATAAATATCTATAAAATGAATGTTTTTATAAATTGTGTTGAAAAAACTAGTGCTATCCATCTGGCAAAGATACACTTAACTCCAAGTTATACTTAAAAAGCCAACGGACTTACCATATGTCTCAATAATTTTAAGGTAAAATCTGCTTGAAACAAGATGTCTGGGACACATACACTATATCCAGTTGCCCAAAAGTTCATCTGTTAACCATTGTTCTGGCATGAAGCACTGCTTCTTTTTTATTTTTATTTTTTTTTTAAAGTACAGACTAACTCAGTTTTGTAAAGCTTAACTTTTCGTTTTTCCTTGTGAAAGATTGCTCAGTGTTGATAAACTTTAATCTTCTTAAAGTTTAAATTTTCTTTAATATATGGTATTAAAAATATTCCAGGAAAATCTCTAATTATAATGTACTTTATTTATACATGCAAAATACTGAACACATGAATATATTATTTCATGGAGACAAAGTGACTTTCTTTTTGAACAGGAACTCTGCTCTGTTTGTTTACTTGGGCAATCTTTTATCAAGTGAAGCCATTTCATAATTCAATTCAGCTCTTTTGTGTACTTTGGTGAACTTTTTCCAGATTCTGTATTGCAATTCAGATCCTTATAATGAAATTTGTATTGAAGTAATAATATAAAATCACAAAACTATAGCAACAAAGAGGAAAAATTTATAGAGAAAGTATGTTTTAAAGGTTTGTTTCTGAATTCTCTACCCAAATTAAATTCTGCCAAATTACTATTTTAACATAATGTAAAAGTTTGATGTTTGTGTATATATGTTTAGTTATTTCATAATAATTTTTAACACAGTAATTCCCTCCACTTATTCATTAAAAGTTTTTAAGATGTTCCTTCTTGCCTTTCAGGAATATTGGGAATATAAATTGGGAATGTGAAAAATCTTTATGTCATTAAGGTAAATGACACAAAGTTGGAAATATATCTGTATATGTTATTTTTGTTGAAAGACAAAGCCCTATTTGGTGATGTCAGTGCTGGGGGTAAGGGAGCAATGCCAGTCAGTCACTGTAATCAGAATTTTTGTCTGAGAGAACATATAAAAAATGCAGCTATAGTTTTTTTAATCCTAGGAGCCTCTGGCACATCTCTCTGCTACTAATCAGATATTCAACTGGAAATAGTACATAAACCTCCACAGTTAAGTGATTAAAGAAATGGAAGTCTGGGCAGTGGAAATAATCATTTTATAAGTACCAGAATGGAAAACTTTAAGAGGAGACTAAAGGTAAAAATAAAGCTGACATGCCAGAAGAATCATATACAAAGAAATATAGTCTATTTTATAAGATGAGAATGATTTGGGGAAGAAGGTTTTTCTACTTCTCTTTCTTTAATAATTTCTGCTCCAAAGGAAAATGTCTGAATTGCTTTGAGAAAAGGCCCAAGCTATTTTGTGGTTTCTGTGGTTTGATTACATGAATTTCATTCACCACTGTGTCCTTTGCATAATTTCCTCATTAGAAGGGAGTACATTTACCTGAAAAAAATCTACAAACTGATACATATATTTGAGAGATTGATCAAATTTAATTATAATAAACATTGTGCTATAATTTCTGCATTAAAGATTTTAGTGTTTTATGTTTAAGTCATATTACTTTCCCCTTGTTTATTGTGGGATATTTTAATGCTGAGGCTGTTACTACACCTTATTTTCACTTGGTGGGAAGGCATACCATGCTTACCTTCACTGCTCTTTTTGGTGTTTCAGCTAAGATGGGTGGCAGAATTCCCTTGTAAAAACCAAACAACCTGTTAGAGAAAAAAAATTAATATAAATAAGGGAATTAGAAAATAGGTAATTCCACCGTTAAATCATAAAGTCTTCCTAATTATTTACCAATCATGAAAATTTCCTTTGTTTTAATTCTAAAGATATGAATTCTGTGTTTCCTAGCATTACAATATTGAGAGAATGAATAAATGACACTGAGACTGGAATCACTTAAGTAAATTGCTAAATATGACCATGAGTTATACCTTCAAGATGAAATTGGCGCTTCTCACTTTAAAGAATCTTGAATTAATTTATCTTCTCAGTTGTATGGTGGGTAGCTTCAAGCTGTCAACAGTCTTGCATTTCTTCCCTTCTGATAATTCAGTGAGGTTAGGGCTACTCCTAAATTCACTAGACTGAACTTTTTTGAGGCTAACAAGGTAATGAAATCTTCAATTTTAGTTTTAATAACAAGCTCTGTGTTTATGGGTCTATGGTACTAGTGCTTCCAGTCCTCTTCTGAATTAGTCATTATTTTTCTACTTCATAATGGAAGTAGAAGAATTTCAGGAAGGGCAGTTAGAATTTTCAAACTCCCTTGCTGTTATACAGTCTAGTAGGATGCAGGCCAGCTATCATTAAGAATGTTGAGGGGTCCAAGGATATAGATTCAGACCTTTATAAAAGAAAGGGGAAAACTACAATGAGTGGTATATGCTTATGACTGGATTTTTAAAAAGTCACAACTTGTTTCTTATTAGATTTTAGGATTCAAAATTTTAAATTTCTCTGCCCAGGAATCTTCATACACATGCCATATCTTAATTTTAAACTTGAAAATATTTAAATAGAATATTCTGCATTGTTTTCTGAGGTAATCAGCTATCCTGACAAGTCCATAAGTGACTACAGATAGGGCCACTTTTGTTTTTTAATTGGTCCTGGGGATTAAACTAAGGGGCACTAAAATACTGAGCCACATCTCCAGCCATTTTTATTATTTATTTATTTATTTTTAATTAAAAAAATTAGTTGTTAATAGGTCTTTTATTTAATTTATTTATATGCGTGCTGAGGATTGAACCCAGGGCCTCACACATGCCAGGCAAGCACACTCTACCACTGAGCCATAACTCCAGCTCCCCCTTTTTTATTGATATTTTAAAACAAATAAATGACAGCAGAATACATCACAATTCTTATTACACATATACAGCACAATTTTTCATATCTCTAGTTGTATATAAAGTATGTTGATACCAATCCATGTCTTCATACATGTACTTTGGATAATGATGTCTCTCGCATTCCACCATCCTTGCTAACCCCTGGCCCCTCCATTTCCCTCCCAGCCCTCTGCCCTATCTAGAGTTTGTCTATTCCTCCAATGCTCCCCCTCCCTACTCCACTATGAATCAGCTTCCTTATATCAGAGAAAACCTTTAGCATTTTTTTTGGGGGGGGGGATTGGCTAACTTCATTTAGCATTATCTTCTCCAAAGCCATCCATTTACCTGCAAATGCCATGATTTTTATTCTCTTTTATTGCTGAGTAAAATTCCATTGTGTATATATGCCACATTTTTTTATCCATTTATCTACTGAAGGGCATCTAGGTTGGCCAGCCCCCTTTTTATTTTTTATTTTGAGACAGGGTCTTGCTAAGTTGCTTAGGGCCTTGCTAAGTTAATGAGGCTGGTTTAGAACTCATGATATTCATGCCTCAGCCTCCTGAGTTGCTGAGATTATAGGCATGTGCTACCAAGCTGACATCTGCCCATTATTTTGATTTAATGGATCATGTTAGTATTATGATAGCAAGCAACACAGACATATGATTTGAAGGAGTTTGGGAGTTCATGAATTGCCCCACCCCCATCCACTCCAATTTTAACTACCAATGCCTGAAATTCTCACGTCTACACTTATTTACTCAAGACACTTGTCAAATTTAAATCCTCTTTATCATCTAAATTTCATTATAAATTAATTATTTTAAAATTTTCAGTATGAGAGTGACTAAGCATAGATTTGATCTTCCCAAAAGATAAATGTGATTTTCTGGTAGACAGTCTATGTCTCTAATGGAAGAAGTTATTAGTTTGGTTCTTTTTGTGCTGATCTTTCCACATCTGAAAAATTATGCCTGGTTATGTGGGAAAAATGAAGAGAAACCTAAAAGTAAATAAAGCTTTTAAAATAATGTTCAGGTTAATAAAGGGACTTGAAATTCTATATGATAGATAACAGTTATAGGTAGAAAAGTTGGTTAGCCTGGAGAAGAACAGCTTTATGGGGTAATGTGATGAACATGATGGATCTCTTGAAAGGCAAGCATGTAGGAAATATATTAGACCTTTCTGTTTGTTTCCAGGTGGTAGGTCTGGGACCAACAGGTGGAAGCAACAAGAAAAGACAGATTTTTGGCCAGTTGGAGCTTAAAGAAGTAGTATCTCTAATAGTTAGAACTATCTAAAAATAGAATGGGCTTTCCTAAAAGTGCAGTTACAATTTGGCATGTGCAAGCATCCCTGGATGACCACTTGCAATGCGATGCTATAGATGGGATGTACACAGCAGTGGAAGGACTCAGTGGTCTCCATGATTGGTCTATTCTTTTATTCTAAGAAAAAGAACAAGAAGACACAGGCAAGTACTTTTCTAAAGGGACAAACTCTGCCTTACTTCAGATTTCTGCCTCAAGTACAGCACTGCTTCTCTGGAAGACGACTGAAGTCTTGTAAGTAACACAGAAGGACTTCATTTTAAAAGTGATGGGAGAAAATATTAAAAAGAGGTGTAAGGCAGGAGAGAAGAGAGAGGCAGCTGGAAGAAGCATAAGGATTTAATCTGAAAAGAGCTGGGAGGTCCAGAGCCCTCTGCTTCATGTTGGCGATGCTTCGTTGACGTGCCCTCCTTCCCTTCTCTCTGCTTGGCTCCTTTCATGTGCAATCACCACCACCCCCTGTTCCACTACCCTGAGCTTTCCAACAGCAAATGAACAGTTTTAACTGGAAATTCTCAGGGACTGTAGGCAGCCTTTGCTATCAAATGGGAAGTGAGAACCATCTTTTCTTTGCATTGTTTTCAAAGTATATCCATGCGACAGCAGTCATCTATGGAATAGTTGGTGGGGCCAGCACCAAGTCTGTGGAGAACTGCCATGCCCAGTTTTTTAAAAAAACCACCGGAACCAACATATTATTACAATATGACACAGCTTATAGGTACAGGTTGACTGGACACCTTACTCAAATGGATCCAAATGGTACTCTATTTCTTTATTTCATTTAATTTAATTCAAGCTAGACCTATTAGAGTTTTTCTCCAGGATTTTGGGACTCAAACTGAAAAGGTCAGTCTTGCTCTGAGTAGTTAAAGCCTTAAGATATAAGACTATGATATCAAGGGCAGTCATATTTTTGGTCATTTGGAAAAAGCCAATCTGCAGTGATAATAAAGAAGGAAGTCACTATTTAGGGAGACACTATTTAGGGAGAAGTTAAGAAAGAGAGTTTTTGTATTGTGAGTGTGACTCTGCTGCCAAGATTTCTGTATGCTTAGTTACATCTGGATCCTTTTTGAATATCTGGTTTTTACCTCTGCCTCTAATCTAAGAGATACCAAGTAATGTCTTCAATAAGTTATCTTTTTTACTTAAATGAGTTTGAGTTGGGTTGGTAACTTATGGCCCAGAGTCCTGGATCCAGAAAGTAAACCTCATGGTCCCTACAACCAAAATGGCTGTTCCTTGCCATGTCTTCTCATAGGAAGAGATTTGTTTGTCTGTTAGGATTGACCCTTGAGCCAATCAGAGGAGTTACATATAAAATGTGGGCAAGAGAATGTGAGCAAGAGCTCAAGCTGATAAACTATTTGCCTGATTTGATTAAATACTTATTGAAAGTTTTCCTTTTGCAAAATGTGATGCACAGATTTTTTAAAAAAGAAATTGTAATGTTTTATGAAGGAGATATTTTTATTTTTTTCCTGCCAACGGACTGCAGTATATACCCACATGCACTGTTCATTATCCTTCTGTGTAGCTTTGGCTTGCTATTCAGAATGTTGCTTTTCAGGACAATAATCAGAGGAATTAAGAAATTGGTGGCATCCATATTAACATGATCTATCCCATTTATTTCTACCAAAGCAAATTGCTGCCTTCAGTCTACTTGCTGGATGGATGGGTGCTGGTATTCTGAAGGTTTATGTGGCATTGACAGCAGCTCTTTTCCCTGATAAGACAGAAAAGGCACCACCCGGCTTTTAAATTTTGACCTGTACCAAATCAATAGGAGAAACCTTTGGAAGAGATACAAGAGTCACTGTAAGACTTCTTAGTAAATTTTAGTATGAACTCCATGGTAGCCCTCATAATTTTGTTCCTCAAAGTTGTTACTTCTAAAAGGTATAAGTTTGATTTTAACTCTCCTGTGTAAGAAAATATTAACCTGAATTCTTATAGACTTCTATTACTATTATTTTAAGTAAAAATAGTCAAAATTAGTTGATTGCTTCTTATATACTAGTTGCTATGTTAATAATAAGTATATATAGATGTATGTATATATATTAATCTCAACTTTTTCAGGAAGCCTACTATCACATCATTGCCGAATGGTGTACAGTGACTTAATTTCCTTTGTCTTCTCACAATCCATGTCTTTGACCATAAGGTTATACTATATAGAAGTTTTTCTTGATATGCAACTATGTTTTTGCAGTGCTGGGTATTGAACCCAGGACGCAGGGCTTCATATATCCTGGGCAAATGCTCTACCACTGAGCTGTATGCCCAGCTTGAAATAAAATTATTTTAATAAAAAAACTAAGTTATATATGTTGCAACAGTGCTTATCATTTTTTATTTCTGGAAGAAATTTTAGAAAAGGCAAATTAAGATCAGGTCTTTATTCTGAATTTTATTCAATTCTGCTGGAAAGTAAAGTGAAACACTGACTGCATAACTAATAGCAATGGTCTAAGATGAACAAGATCATTCTGGTGAAAACTTCTGGATTGTTGATTAAAT